GACGATATGTGTGCTCGCGATCGGGCGACCCAGATCCGTTCCGCGCGCACGGACGGCCCAGATCAAATATGCGCATGGACGGCCCAGATTTCACGTGTACGGACGACCCAGATCCAATCAGGCACAGACAGCCCAGATCGCATCGCGATGGACAGTCCAGATTTAATCCCAAATAAATCGCAATCGGACGGTCTAGATTTAATCTTGATGGACGGTTGAGATTAAAAGGCAAATGGTATAAATAACCCCACCCACACCAGACCACAAAACCCTAGCCGCCAGTGCCTCGCCGGAGAAGAAAAATCAGACGCCGAAGGAGCCGGCCACTGCCACCCACCGCTGCATCGGAGAATTTTTCGACCGCCAATCGAGGTAAATTTTCTCTCCCTGGCTCGTTTTTCGATGCTGAATCCACCTATGGCCAAACTGGAGCCAAACCACCGGTCAATCGGTCGAAAAATCCTGCCGAAGTCCAACGGCGCTGCTGTGACTTCCCTCTATTTTTGCCTCCGATGAGGCCCTTCCCGACCTCCGTTCGATGCAATTTTTATACCACTGTGATCACCGTTCTTTTCTCTACAGGTTGACCGGAGCAAAACATCAAAACGCGACTCACGTCGGAGAAGCCGCCACACCCAAGAGCACCGCCGCCGGTAAGTCTCGATTTTTCGTGATTTTTTGGTCCCTCGAGGGCCCTAGGGTTGTTTTATCGTAGGGACCAATGCAAGTTTGGCCGAATTCGGCTGAAAACGGCCAACCCGAGGCGGATCGCCGCCGTAAGCGGTGGTGCCGTCGCCGGAAGACGGCGGAGCCGCCGTGCCAGAATTCTGATATTGGCCAAAAGGGGCCCTAGGTCTGATTTAGGATTTTTTGGGACACGTGCAGGTACCAGTAGTGCATTTCAGTTTTTCAGAAAAAAATTCAAGAAAATTAGGGACAGCCCGTAGGCACACTATAGAGCCGATTTCAAACTCTGAAATAAGTAAGGACCCCTCACCCTATTTCTTATCACGGTATTAAAGCTTAATGAATAATTAAACGGTATTTTGTGACTTTATAGATGTAATTGATTGAGGTTGCCAATGGAGCCGAAATCTGGTACATTGTTGGTCAATTGTTGCTTGATCTATTTTTCAGTATTAAATGTAGTATGATGTTTGATGTATTTATTTTATGGTCTCGTATGCATGAATCATGGTTTCTTTTATTATGGTTGGTATTATGGTTAACCCGATACTGTGTTGTCTTATTTGGTGTCATGACTGGTTTATATGTTTGTGTATGATTGGATGATTGAGACCAAAGAAAAGGGCAAAAAGGTTATGTGAATTGATAAGTGGATAATGTGGACAGCCTGACTAGATATCCTGGGAGATGGTGGACGGATCGGGTCCATAGAGAACCCTACCGGGAATGTGGTCTCTCATACCGGACGGGGTATGGAGACTTTATGTGTTTTGGCGCCCATACCGGACAGGGTATGGGGACGGCCCGTTTCACCCTCATACCGGACGGATTATTGAGATCTATGGTTTTTGCGCCCATACCGGACGGGGTATAGGAACAGCCCTGGAATCAGGTTAATGTTCATGGTTCACGTGTAGCGGAGACCCCCTATGGATCCCCATGGATACTAGTAGGCTGGTAAAAAAGGAAAATTGTTGCCTGATGATTGAAATACAAAAGCATGATATGTGTTAAGTTTTAAATTATTTAGCGATTTTTTATCAAAATTTAATTTTCCATATCAATTGTAAAATATTGATATTTTTAGTGGGCTAGTGTAACTCATCCCCTTTATTTAATTATTTAAGGTTAGAAAGACCAAGATTCGTATTCTAAAATAGCAAAAAAGTTAGCGGTTAAAGATTGCTTTCCATTTTCCACTAGTTGCGCTTCGAAGGTCGACCTATAGGTTCTAGTTGTATTTTTTTATTATTATTTTAATTTCATTCAAGAGACATTTCCATAATTCTATTAGGCATTCTGATTAAATTGTGTAAGGAATGTAAATTCTTAATTTTTAATCGCTTCCACCAATACTTTATTAATTTAATATTACCATTCAGTTAAATTTCGGGTCGTTACAATAACTTTAATGATTAACATATTTTGTAACAATAACGTATAACATATTCGGATAAAAAGAAGTTTTGTAATGTTTATATTAGATAGCAATCAAATGATAAAAGAACATAATTTAACAAAAATAAAATGTATTTTATTTTATTTGAATGTTGACTAAAATTAGAAAAAAATTAAGTAATTAAAATATATTTTGAATTTATTTATCTCCCAAAAATAATTTAAAACTTTTATTTAAAGTCTTAGGGAATAGATTTAATTGGACACAATTTAAAAGGGAAGTACTTAATTATTTAGAATCGTATTTAATTATTAATAATTTATTATCATTATTTTTGGTGTCTGCGAGTTTCTATACGACGTCGTTACAAGGAGAGGGGATAGACTGGGCTAGAGCGGTGTGAAAAAAAAAAATAATAATAACAAGGCCCACCATAAAGGGTCGGGTCGGTTTTATCCAAGAGGAATCGCACGTG